TATCGCTCCTTGTGGTGTTAAATCGCGTTGGGTCCTGGCAGTTAAATACTGGTGTTGGTATTACAGAGGATGCCTGCGTTCACTTAAGGGCAATGACTAAAGATACGGCAGCGGTGGAGACAAAGATGAAGTAGAAGACAGGATATTGTTGTTTATTGGTGCTATTTGCGTTCACCGGCTGTTACCCCGACTAAAAGACCTTGTTGTTCGTCCATTTGTGGACTTTGGCTTTGTTACAGGACCTGAGTTTTGCGTGTGCATCAGTTTTACAATCTCAGCTTTTTTGTATTCATACTGTTGGTTCCAGAAGGGATATTAAATATATAGTTTTAGTTAGACCCCTATTTCCACTAAGCCTACATACAGGGAAGCGGCAGACCAAGATGACGGGACGATAAGACTTTCTTTCACGATCCCGGGCGAAGCCGGACAATTATAGCTAGTGTGTGTGTGTGTGTGTTTGTGTGTATGTGTATATGAAATAAATTCAACAGTGGGGGGGGGGGGGGGGGGCAGGCATAGTTTTAAATCAGGTTGCAACAGGTACTGTTAGCATGTCGACCTTTCATTCGCTACGGAAGAAGGCGACGGAGCACTTGTGAGAATGCCCCGAGTGCAGTGATGCCAATTCTTGATTCCTTCATTCATTCAACCATAATATAATGTGATCATTCTCTTTTGCGTTTTGTTGTTGGTTGTTTGTTTTAAAGCCCCCCCCCCCTTTTTTTTTCCAGAGAGCTAAAGTCTGTAAGAGTTGAGCTGAGTCAAAAATTGGCATCACAGCACTCGGGGTATTTCCATGCATGCCCCGTCTTCATATTCAGCAGCCAGCGCAGAATTCCAGTACAGATGGCACCGGTCGTAATCTGGTTATATGTCCGTCTCGCCTTTCCTCTGAGTGTAGTAAGCCGGCCAGACCCCCTGGTTACACCCAGGTGCCTCATTCTCTCCTGGCCATTATAATCTTCTTTCTCGACTGATTCCGTTGCTTGTTCCCAAAGGGCCTTGACCACATCTACCTTGTCATGTATCAATTCACCACCCAGTGGTGCAGATCAAGCCTATACATCCGTCTGCTCATTACCCACCACGCCGGCATGGCCTGGAGAAAAGATCCAAAGTATGCCCACTACCTGTGACCTTCCAAGTGAAGCTTGCCACACTGCTTGAAGCATCCCTGTCTTCGCCTTTCTCATCTTGCTTTCAGAGTCTGTTACACATTTGATCTAAAAGATGCGAATCAAACAGATGAATTTCTCCATGGCTTCTGGGGCTTCATTGTTGAAAAACAAGCACAATCCAACTGCCTCCCAACAAGCTTGTCGTAAGCGTCGCATAATTGGGGGCTTCAGTCGAAATCGGACTGCATGTGCATAAGAGGCAGGCAAACGCTGCAGTTTGCATACAAATAAGCCAGATCTGTAAAACGGATGTGCAGACAATACTCGGGTTCTGGAACACGATTAAAGTCCAGAAGCGGATGAACAATTGAAACTTTCTGCTTAAGTCTGCAGTCGGTGAACGGGGAAAACAAAAAAAGTACAAACAGGTGCAAATCAGGAAGAATCACGTCCAGCATACAGTCGTCTTCTTTTTTTTTTCTTTTCTTCATTCGCTTGAAAAAAATTATCGATATCTGCAATGATGACTCTACCATGAACCTCACTGTCTTTTGTAATTCACTTAGCGGCCCTTAAAGTTTACCTTCAACCAGTCTCACTCTTGCTCAGAAGTTTTGCCTGGGACAGTCTTAGAGGATGTGATTTGTTGTCTCATGTGATAATTCACATGTGCACATGGCAGATTCGCTGTACGATAGACATGGCTAATGAAGACGCATGTGGAGGTGGGGGGGGGGGGGGGGTGGGTTGGCTTAGTTGACCATGTTCTTAGTGCACTTGTTTCCATAGCGAGGCGCTCACGCATTTGGAGGCGACAGGTTCGATTCCTGGCACGGTAACTACAACTTTCGATTTTTATGTTGTCTATTGTGTTCTTCTATCTTTTTGCTTATTTCTATGAGTACCAGTTTATACATTGTCTGTTTATTAATTACATTAAAAAATATTAGAAGGCGTACATCAAAAGAGGAGAGGGTTGCAGAACACGAGATGCGACAAGAACAAAATGGAAAGAAAAAGTGAGAGAAACTCCACAGTAATACCATTTGTCGGTGGTCGATGTGATTATAAAAAGTAAAGGACCAGTTTCCACGCCTCTAGGCGTATTGTGCATGACTAGACCTAACATTTATAGACCAACGGCATAAGATGGGTGATGTGGGCAGCAGCACGCCGGCCGCCTCTACTTTCCGGGACTGCACCCGGTACCAACTCAATGCTGGGTCGACCTGGGAGCCAAGGTCATTTTTAAAGCAGGTGACTATAAGCAAAACTTTACATTTTCTTTCTGGTAATCTGGTAATCCTAGTTTCAGCATCATAGCAAACGGGTCACCCCATTGTTGCTCCGCTCCTGTGCCAACGAAAAACACTCGTAGCTCACAGTGTCACACCATGCACTCAACTCAGAAGCTGGGTGACGAAACCATATCCTTCCAGTCTACAAATGGAGCAAAAATGCAACGGCCACCGCCTGGCAGAACTGCCACGGCTAAAAAAAAAAAAAAAAAAGTGGCCGTGCCTAGCGTCCACTGTGACTTGAAGCATTATGTGAGGGGTTAACAAATGGTCACCCCAGCAGTACCCTCACTATTAGCTGGGAAAGGGACTTAGGACATTACATCCACCAGCAGGCGTCGCCCCTACAACGACCTGACTGCCTTCGTTAACGACTGTTCACCCAACAGCCATGCAGTTCTTTGGCACGAAGGAGACACCTTGAACTTGGGTTTCGGAATGCCGATTACATTTTCTTTGACATCCAAATCGTTAAAAGGGAAAGTGAAGATGAGGAGAAAAAGAAAGTGATGATGATGACTATTGTCACTTGATGATGATGACTATTGTCACTTGATGATGATGACCAATTACAATGCTTGCTGTGTTTAAATTAAAAGCGGTAAAACAGTAAGTGAAGAAGGAGGAAAAAAAGAAAGTGACGATGATGACGATGACTATTGTCACATGATGATGATAATGACCATGGCGACATTCACTGCTTGCCGTTTCAAAACTGTAACTTTGACGAAACGAAGTTTGTCTGGCGAAAATGAAACCGTAAGGCAAAGGGATCAAGGAATCGTTGTCACTTTCTGTATCGGTTGTAGACGGCTGTAATTTTTCTTCTCTTTTTGTAAGTTTTACGTTTATGATGTTAGCTTTAATTATACACGTAATATTCACGTACAATATCTTGTTGGGCATTTCAGTATTTCTTAGATTTATTAATTATAAAAAAAATATCAAAAACCGTATAAACAGTCAACTTACGTATTCTAAACCATTCAGATAAAAACTCATCAACCGTCAAACTCAAACAGTCAGACTTACGTGGAGATAGATGTAAAAAAACAGCTGCTAAAACTTGTTAGTCAGAAGTTTTTTGCGCAACTAAATGCGCAACTTTCGTTTTGGCTTTGTTTACATTGGACTTCAGTCACATGTCAATTGGAAACTTCCGGCGACTTAAATTGCGGACTTCCGGCGACTAACGCCACTGCCGAGAGTATCTCGGAGCGGGGCTAAACTAGATGGCTGGGACTCACGAGCAGCAGCTACCGCATCTCCTGCAGCTTTCTTCATTTTATTTGCTCAGCCATCTAGTTTAAGTTTAGTCTCGCTCCCCGCCGCACATAGCGGCGTGGGAGATACTCTCGGCGGTGGCTGGTGGTAGTCGCCGGAAGTCTGCAATTGACATGTTACTGAGGCCCTGTTAGTGTATATTTTCTGACAACTGAAAAGTGCGGTGGTATCCACTGCATAGTTTCCTTATACACCGGTTGCCTGGTTTGGAGTGTAGTGTCCGTATAACTGGTAATTTTCTAGATTGGAGTTCCTGAAAACCTGCCTAGCATCCATACGATACTGAATAACTATCAGCTGCGTTGTGCTGGTCACATATGCCCATAGGCCAGTCTATCATCTCCCAATGAGTATTTTATGGCGTGCTCCAGCAAGGGAAGAGGTCCAGGGAGGACAACAACAAAAAAGCGCTATGAGACACTCTAAAAATTGCTATCAGCACCGTGACATGAGAGGCTGCTGCACAGTACCGTTCTGGATGACCTACATCACTCAGGCATGGGGCATCGGCCTGCCAAGCAGTGGAGGTTGCAGAGGCAGACCAGAAACTGTATCGCTAATCCCACACTTACTGAGGCATCCACCTGTTGTCTGCACTGCTCTAGAACTTTCCAAGCTCATATTGTACTTATCAGCCACCTTTTTACTCATAATCATTGATCATTGCTACCTTGGATAGAAAGTGGCCTTCATCACTCGTGATGGACAAACATTTTAAGGATCTTTCTCTACTGGGACTTGGGCCTCGGGGCCCATAAGGATCCCCGTTTTCAGAATTTTGGCTCTGAGTGAACTTAGTTGAATAGCCCTGCTCCATGGTATTGGTAATGAAATCTGCTCATAATTGTCACCTACTGTTAATACATTCTGATATGATCATATCGTAATGTCAGAGTAAAACTCTGTAGTTCAGTCTACCCTGCCCTTTCCCCTCCCATCCAACTTGCCTTCTATCATTTACTTCCCAGTACTTCACCTGGTACCCACTCAAGACTGGGTCGTCCTAGGAGCCAAGGTAATAAAAAACATAAACAATAATAAGTGAGGCTGCATTCAGATTTGAACCCACAACCTTCAGATCAGTAGGCAAGCATATATCCACTACACCATGGTGGCTGCCTCATCTGTCTGTCATGATTTAATCTATTTATCTCTTCTTAGTACATGCCCAGAGAAATGTCTTCCGGGATAGACAGCAGGTAATCATTCCCCTTGATGTTATGTTTTCAAGTTACTTTGTATTTACATTATTTGTTAATCCAGATAACATTGAGTGCCCAGCTTCTGGATCGAACAAATGGCTAGTACTGGATTTCATTGTGACCTTTGCAACATTTTCTTCCATAAAAGTAAGTAGACATAAACACCGTCGTGTAGCTTTCTTTTTTTTGTTTTTGTTTCTTTCCCATTCCTCTTTTACACTTCTTCTATCTTTCCCTCCCTGACTGAGCCGAGGAAATCAGTAACACCTTATGCCTAGCCAATTTTAAGACTTGTTCCTAATTTGCTGCTTTTGACACCTACATTTTTCTATGCGGTAAGGTGACCATCTTACTCCAGCCATATTTACAGACGTTACCTCTCATGACCCTACATGGCAGGTTAGTGTTGGGTCTTTCTGATTGATTTGATTATTCATTTCTTCTGCTGATTATTCCCTTCTTCTGCTGATTATTGCCTTTCTCTGCTTATATAAGACTGGTACGTCAGGTTGTTCTTCATTTGTACCTTCCTTAGTTAGTTTATCAGCTCTCTCAATTCAGGTAACTCCAAAGTGGGATGGTATCCACTGCATAGTTACTTTACATGGTTGCCTGGTTTGGAGTGTAGTGTCCATATGCCAGATTCATTTCCAGATTGGAATGTCTGAAGTACTGCTCTTGCATCTGTCAGGAATATCACGGGTTGTTAAGTATGACTGGTATTTAGCAGCTACTCTGCTGCTATAAAAGACAGTGAAGTTCATACTGGAAACAACATTGCAGATATAGATAATCTGTACCCCCGTGTGGGTTCCGGGGCCCCATTGTGGGGAAAACAAGAATAGACCCACTGCCTCCCCAAAAGCATGTCGTAAGAGTCGACTAATTGGGAAGCTTCCTTTGAAGTCGGAGTGCATCTGCCGGAGAGGCAAGGAACCAACAGTCTGTATTCAAGAGAATGAGATCTGTAAAACTGATGCACACGCAACACTCAGGTTCTGGAGCAGGACTGCAGTTCAGTAGTGGACGAGCAACCAGAACCTTCCGCCAGAGTTTACAGCTGGTGAACGTGAAGAAGAAGAAGATAATCTGTTTCAAGTGAACGAAAAGAAGAAGAAGATAAAACTATGTTGTGCTGTTTATCCACACAGGAGATGAAGAAAAAAGTAAAAATGATCAATGACTGTGAGTACAAAGAGGTCTCATCAGTTCAAACTGAGCCCGGAAAGTTATTGAGCAGTGCAGTAATAAGATAATTGCAGTTCCAACTTCATAGCAGATGCGTCACCCCAAAGCTGCTCCGTTCCTGTGCCCACAACTAAGCAGAAAATCCGTCACTGTCCCTAGTGAAGAAGTTGACAGAATGCATCCTTAGCAAAGCTAGTAACATGCACATGCATTAAATACATAAGGTACCCATCAGAAATGCTAACACAAACAGTCCGGCACTAGAAATTAGGTTCATTGTTAGTGGAAGTTACATCAGATCAGTATTTGGGGTTACCCATTTGTTATGAAGTCGGAACTGTGATTACCTGAAAAGTAATCTGTTGGCAGACTTTGAGACAGTCAGATAGTCTGCACTGTGGCTTATAGTCCATACTGTGTGGCGTTGGTCATGGTTTTATGCATTTTCTGCCTTCTGTCATCATCATGTAGCAGGTCCTGTGCAGAATGTCGCTCTCATCACGGTCTGCCTGAAAGAAACTTCCGCTTCGTATACTTTAACCCCTGTGTGGGTTCCGGGGCCCCATTGTCAGGAAAAACAAGAATAGACCCACTGCCTGCTGGAGCTTACAGCCGGTAAACGCAAAGAAGAAGAAGATTTACTTTCATATTCAAGGAGTCACTTATATCGTGTGCCCAGTGTACTGCCAGTAATTTGTTCTTCCCTGCTATGGTGTCATACTGTCTGACATCCTCTCTGTTTGTTCCTCCTGTGTCTCTTTCTCTCCAGCCTTTCTTCCTTCTCGACTTTTTCTCTTTAAATTATGCACCCAAAAATATGGTTTGGCCTCTTATGCGTTCATTTTAATATTCTTCATTTTGTCAGTGCTGCCTTTGCTGGAAGCCGTTCTTCATTTAACTTCTTTTAATATATCTTTTATCTGCTGTTATCGGGGTACCCAAGTACTGAAACATATCAGCCTGCTTGAGGATTGTCCCATTTACTTTGAATTGGCATTTTGCATGATCTAATATCTTTGTAACTACCATTGCCTCTGTTTTTCTGCTGTTCAAACTAAGACCCTTGCTTTGACTTTCTGTCACAATTATGTCCATCATTTCTTCAGTTTTGTTTCATTTTCAGCGATCAGAACTCTTATCATCAGTACAGCAAATCACAGTATGCCTACTAACTGATATTCCTGGCATACCATGTATGAATCTCATTATTTCAAAGGTCAGGCCTTTGTCAGACATGACTGAGCTACAGTAAAACAGAAGCTGGTATTACCTGTTTTCCGTTAACGCCACCTGTTTTCCGTTAACGCCACCTGTTTTCCGTTAACGACGCCTGTTTTCCGTTAACGCCGAATGCTGGGCAGTGTATACCAAACCTTACATCCCACATTTGGTGGAGGAGTGCATTAGGGAGGATGCTAGCCATATCCTAGGAGGAGGAAATCCAAGCTGAAAACTTTATGTTATGACAGGGCAGACTAGGCCCTTAGCCTTGGCTGGCAGCTGGTCTCAGAGGGAAGCTCTGACAGGTGAACAGACAGAGCACTGATCTTCTTCAGCAACCTTTGTTCAACACATACAGGTGTTACCTTTCCTTTGAAGTAAACAAGGCAGGCTGAGCAAGGGACCATGATACATATACATATACAGTATATGATCTCTACAGTAATGCTCCGGCTTTGTGTAGTAGAGAGGAGGAACTTCACCCCTGGCCTCAGTTGGAAGACTTTTCTCAGCACGGGCAGGTCTTGGTAGTCACACTTTCCATCGCCATGGATTGTGTCCCATGTCTCCTCATAGCGCAGCATAATACTATCATCTTGAAAGACAGAAATGTGCCAGAGAACAAACGACATAATTATCTCACTGTTCTTTAATTATATTTTTCGACTGAATCCGTTATTTTCCAGAAAATGAGTACGACAAGCATTGCCAGGGCAAGAAGCACAAGGTCAAGGAGGTACTCGCCCATGAACATGAAGCTGCAAACAGGCGGCTGTATGTTCGGGGAATTGATTGGATGCGGGATCCGCAGGCATTTCTACACTCATACTTCAAAAACTTTGGAAAGCTAAATGGTATTTCTTTGCGTGGTAAACAGGTAAGTAGTTGTTGACATATTAATCTTCCTGGGTTGTTGTTGTCTGTGTCGCTGTAGTTGTTGTTGTGGCTGGTAAACCGGTCTGTAGCTGTTGTCATATTCATATTGCTGTCTTGTTTGTTGTAGTTATTGTTACTAGTTGTTGTTTCTATAACCATTGTTACTATAGTTTTTGTTGCGGCTGGTGTTGCTATGGCCATTGTTGTTGTAGTTGTTGTTGCAGCTGGTGTTGTTGCTTTGGCAATTTTTGTGGCCATCACTGTATTTGTCATTATGGCTGGATTTGCTGTTTTAGTTATTGGTGTAGTGGTTGCTGTGGTCATTGTTGTTGAAGTTGTTGTTGCTAGTGTTTGGTGGCCATTGTTGTTGTTCCAGCTTGTGTTGCTGCCTTTAGCCATTATCTCTGTATTTATTGTTGTTGTTGTGGCCTGTTTTGTTGTGGCTTGTGTTTTTGGGGTTGTTGTTTTAATGGCCATTATCACTGTATTTATTTTTGTTGTGGCTGGTGTTATGGTGGTGGTTGATGCTGTAGTTGTTGCTGTGGTCACTGTTGTTCTTTCTGGTTGGCCCCCTGCCTATCTTTCCAGGTATCATTCCCGGTGCTACTGTTTTTTCCCAGCCCGTGGTGGCACTTGGTATATCCATAGCAGTTTATCGAAAAGTTAAAATTAAAGTCGAGAGAATCGGCTTCATTGCACTTGGTTTTATCTCAAATGGCTCAGTCTCTCTCTACAAAACAGCAAACCACTTGCAGAGATCATTGCACAAAGCACAAACTCCACTCCCAGGGATCTCTGTAAAATTTGCACTCATGAAGTGAATGATGCAGCCATGAAACAAACCCGCAACCTTCAGAGCATGAGGCAGCCGGCTCAAGAGATGATCCCTTACCTTCAGTATCTACAGTAAAAGTAAAGAAGTTAAGATCCCCTTTTTACATCTTAGGCACATCGGGTATATGGTAAGAACACCCAGATTTGTACAGACCATCAGCACTAGGTGGGTAATGTGGTCAGCATTATGCTGGTTGTCTTTACTTCCCCAGGACAGCCCATCCTGGTAGCCATTTTAGGCTGGGTCGACCTGCAATGTCCCATACCATGATAAAAATCCACGCAGCCAGCAGTGGGTTTCGATCGTGTTATGTTGGAATTATGAGTCGGACTCGCAACACCTAAGCAATGGGCACTGCCGCTCAGTATCTGCAGGGCAGCAGGGAATTAGAAGAGAGAAAATGCAATAGACAGTTAAGATGATGTTGATCTGTTGCCTTGAATATCTACAGGGCAGCAAGAAATTAAGACCTTTAGAACAGAGAAAATGCTATAGACAGTTAAGATGGTGTTGATTTGTTGCCTTGGATATCTACAGGGCAGCAGGAAATTAAGATCTTTAGAAGAGAGAAAATGCAATAGACAGTTAAGATGGTGTTGATCTGTTGCCTTGGATATCTACAGGGCAGCACCTTTGCTGTTGTGGAGTTCCAGGACCAGGATTCCATCTCCAGGGCCTTGAATGTGAATCACAGGATCGAGAGGCACGTGCTGAATGTCAAGCGCTACAAGTATCAGCCTCAGCACTGGGAGAGGAACAAGCTTACCAATGAGGAGTTTCAGGAGGAGGAGAAGGCCAAGCAGGCTCAAGTCAGAGATAAGATGATGGAGGTCTTGTTGACTGCAGAAAGTGTAAGTTGTCTGTCCTTGTGTCTCACTCCTCTCTTTACTTTCACTTCTCCCTCTCCATCTGTCTGTCTCCCTGTCCATCTTTTTACTTTCAACTCTCCCTCGCCATCTGTCTGTCTTCCCATCCATCTGTTTACTTTCATTTCTCTCTCTCCATCTGTCTGTCTTCCTGTCCATCTCTTTACTTTCACTTCTCCCTTTCCATCTGTCTGTTTCCCTGTCCTTCTCTTTACTTTCATTTCTCCCTCTCCATCTGTCTGTCTCTCTGTACATCTCCTTACTTTCACCTCTCCCTCTCCATCTGCCTGTCTCCCTGTCCATATCTTTACTTTCATTTCTCCCTCTCCATCTGTCTGTTTCCCTGTCCTTCTCTTTAACTTCTCCCTCTCAGTCTGTCTCCCTGTCCATCTCTTTACGTTCACCTCTCCCTCTCTATCTGCCTGTCTTCCTGTCTAAAGTATGTCCCTTACACACATTCGCACTTCTTTGTTGCCGTTGTGTCTGACATGTGCCCCAAGTGTTTGACATAAATTCACACCACTTTGTTGCTGTCACACAGAAAAAAAGAAGTATCTTGGTCTGTAAAGTTGCCGTATGGGTTACAGGGCCTCCTTTTCAGTTCCTTCCCCAAAAGGAATGTTACAAAAATCACCTAATTAGAGGTGTTTCCTGTTAAGTCTCAGTGAATCAGCCTGAGAGTTGAGTAATCAACAGTCTGCATACAAATATGCCAGATTTGTAAAATGGATGTGCATGCTAACTCAGTTTCTGGGAAAAGGCCAGAGTTCAGAAGCGGACAAATAACCAGAACTTTCTGATGGAGTTGACGGCCGTTGAATGCCAAAAAGAAGATACATAAAAGTAACTGGAAACGTATTCAGAGATTAAAATTTTTGAAAAATGTTAGTTGCTTTAATTGTCTATTACAGTTGATGGATCAGATCAACTTAGTGGCGGAAAACCTCAAGCTGGACCCTGCTGACAAGAGAGCTAGGGTTCAGATCTGTGAAGAGCTGACAGAGCTGTTTGCCCCTCACTTTGAAGGTGAATGTCCTTGAACAGTTTGTGTGTGTTTTTAACAGAGAAAGTTTTAGAAGTAAATAAATAAATGAAATATTTCAAGCACTTAAAAGACCTAACACTTATGAAAACCATACTGGAGACAAAAAAAATGAAGGGAAGCAAGAGGTAGACATTGAAACAAATGGGAGGATAACAGCAAGAGATGGACAGCCAGTGTCAAAGATTGCGTAAACAGGATGAGAGCAGAGTAGTTGGAGATGCATTGCAGCCAGCCTTCAATGTGAAGATGGCACCTGATGAATTTATTCAACAGCAAAAAACCCAGTTTCCTTGCCCTCTGGACATGGCATCATTGTTTGGCACTTGACCTTGTCATGTAGCTTGCTGTTCAGTCTGTTCTAATGTTGACTATTTTGTTACACCTTCTTTAGGTGGCTAGATGCTTTGCTGAAACATTTTTTTTAAAAAACCAGCAACTCCTAAAGGGGGTTGGGGGGGGGGCCTTTAGGTTATAATTGTGACTAGGTTATGTGCACCATATAAACTGGTTTTAGCATTGGACGTCACCATGAGCCCTAAAAAAGACTTTTGCAGTGTTGATGTGATCAAAGGAGAAGACCCAAATGTTGTCCTGACCTGCGACAAGACTGTCCACCGACCAGCCAGTGGGCAACCCACTTGTCAATGGGACACCTCTTTAATTTCATCTACAAATGAAGATATATGCTACAGGAGACGGAGCACCTGTGTTTAAGCCCAGTGTCCTATGATGTGGATTCCGGGTCTCCATGGCGAGGGGTGGGGGATAGACACTCCCCTCTGAACAAGCATGTCCTAAAAGGCAACTAATTGCGGGCTTTTCTTTCAAAGTTGGAGTGCATCTGCCTGAGAGGTGAGGAACCAACAGTCTGCATACAGATAAGGTCGGATCTTTAAGGCAATGTGCATACACTACTCAAGGAACAAGGCCAGATTACAGAAGTGGATAACCAACCAGAACTTTTCAACGAAATTTACAAAGCTAAATATAATGACTGTCATAAGAGGCACTTCAGGAAGGTTGGGCATGACTCACGCTGCGCAGTCCAATAGAACACTTGAGCTACACAATCCTGACAGTCATAAGAGGCACTTCAGGAAGGTTGGGCATGACTCATGCTGCGCAGTCCAATAGAACACTTGAGCTACACAATCCTGACAGTCATAAGAGGCACTTCAGGAAGGTTGGGCATGACTCATGCTGCGCAGTCCAATAGAACACTTGAGCTACACAATCCTGACAGTCATAAGAGGCACTTCAGGAAGGTTGGGCATGACTCATGCTGCGCAGTCCAATAGAACACTTGAGCTACACAATCCTGACAGTCATAAGAGGCACTTCAGGAAGGTTGGGCATGACTCATGCTGCGCAGTCCAATAGAACACTTGAGCTACACAATCCTGACAGTCATAAGAGGCACTTCAGGAAGGTTGGGCATGACTCATGCTGCGCAGTCCAATAGAACACTTGAGCTACACAATCCTGACAGTCATAAACAGACCTGTGGAAATTTGCCTGTCCATTTGTTTTACCCGCACGCCGCGACTCTGTTTTGTTGAATCAGGTTGCAGGGTTTACCAGTTTGGCTCATCTGTCAATGGGTTTGGGGCTAAAGGTTGTGACCTTGACCTATTTCTGGACATTGATGATGACTCTACAAGTGCTAAGAGCAAGGTACGGAAATTTTTTATATTTGTTTTTAAAACATTTTCTTTAAGCATATAATTTTACTTCTTCTTGATCCTCATGCTCCTCTTCAGCTTCTTCCTTTTCTGGATTTTCAAAAGGAAAAGTTAGTACGTACAGTTGAGGTTTAAAGCTAGGCTGTGATATATGTGCTTTGCAGCCCAACATATCTGATTTAAACAAACCTGTAATTAGCTGTCTTTTATGATATGCTTTTTGGTTTTTTTTCCCTCCTTAAGTGAGGCCCCAGAACCCACACGGGGTGCACTTTTTCTTGTTAATGAGCATTTTGAACACAGTTCCCCCTTCTTCTTCTTCTTCTTACTCGCCGGCTGTAAACTCCGGCAACAAAAGTTATGGTTATTCCTCTCATTGATTAACTCTTTCAGTTCCGATTGTTTCATCAGCAGATATCCAAGAAGGCAAAAAGAACAATGAGAAAAATTGTGTTTAAGTTTCAAGGACGGAACAGTCACCAGACACTAAAGGGACATGTTAAAATATCCTACCATATTTTGTTCGTATACCAAGACCAAACATAACAGAGACATGAACATGAGTGTGGCTTAACACCCGTGGACAACAACTGATCAAGTCTGGTCAGTGTCTTGGAACTTTTTCTTCTTCACGTTTACCGATGGAAAGTTCTGGTTGTTTGTCCACCTCTGGACTTTAGTTTTGTTCCAGAACTTGAGTTTGGATGCACATCCATTTTACATATCTGGCTAAATAGTTATTTGAAAGATTATCCTCATTGCATGTCGGACAAGTCCATAAGCGCTCAGATCCCAACTTCAGTATATACCCCAGTGTGTGGTGACTGATAACACCAGTTCTGTGTTTTTTTTACTAGTCTTCTTTGGCTACCTGTATAGTGTTCATGTTTGGCGACGCCTCTTTTAACCTGAAGTTCTTGAAGTCTTTTGAGTGTTACCAATTCAAGTTTGTCTCCTGAATCATCTTTTCGTCCTGCCTTCTTGAGAGCATTGAGAATGTCAGCCGAGCCCATGGATTTTCCTGTACCTGCGGTGGCCCTGCAGCAAGCCAATCCATTCGTTCATTCCCTTTTACCCCAGAGTGTCCTGGCACAAAAATGAAACTAATTCCTTTCAGACGAGACTTCATCAGCGACTCCAACCATTTTTTAAAAATCCATCCTGTCTCTTTTTTCTTAAGCATGCTGGAATCACTTGGCATGCATGAGAAAAATACTGTGTCTCTAGCCACATCATTGCTTTTGTTACTGCCATCACCTCCTTAGTCAGACTACTTGTAGTTAAGGCAAAACTCCTGCTTTCTTCTTTTACGGTTGTTTTCTTGAACCAGAACTGTGAAAGCCCGTAACTTTGTATGTTTCGAATGTCTATGTAGATAACTGCCCCTCCATAAGCACAATTTTCAAGAACCAAGTTTCACACTTCTTCCTCAATCACCAATGGACCTTGTTGTTTGCAATCTCTACCCAGTGTTTTGTAGACTTAAAAGAATATATCTAGCTTATTTATATGCAGACTGTTGGTTCCTTGACTCTCAGGCAGTCACTTTCTGACTTTGAAGGAAATTCCCTAATTTGTTGCCTTTCACAAGATGCCAGTTGGGTTGGTCGGTGTGCTTTTAGTTCAGTTAGGTTCTTCTAGTTATGTCATCAGTGGTACCATTCATGTTTGCCAACAGATCAAGAAACTCTCACAGATTTTGTTGAAGTCACCTAGCGTGTCTAAAACCTTGGTCATTCCCAGCAACCGATGCCCAGTTGTCAGGTTTCTTCACAAGTCATCGAATATTAAATGTGATCTGTCTATCAACAACAGGTGGGTTCAATTCCTCTTTTTTTATTTATCATTGTATTTGTTTTCATTGTATTTGTTATCATCTTTAGTCAGCACCTCTGGTTTAGGCGTTGTGAACGCGCTTCATAATGCCAGCGTTCCAGGGTTTGATCCCAGCTGCAGACGTTTTGTCGTGCATTGGTTTCGACAGTGGTACCAAGAGCCGACCGCCCAAAAAGCAATGGCAAACTACTGGACGTAAATTTGTCTAGAAAAACACAACAGCCAAACAATGCTGGGGTTAGTTCTGCAACGTCCTGTAAAAGGATTCACAACTAACTTTTTTATCTTTATAAGCATCATCAGTTAGTGATTTTGTTATCTGTTTTAACATTTCATGAATATTAAATGTGATGTGTCTGTCAGTAACATGCAGTACAGTTCCTTTTCATAATCTTTCATCATCTTTATAATTATCGTTATCGCCATTAGCTAGTAATTTTTTCAGGTTTCTTCACAAGTCATTAAATATTAAATGTGATCTGTCAGTCAATAACAAATAGGTCATTGCTTTTCTTCTTCATCTTGGTCATCATCATCATCATTATCATGGACTTAGTCCAACGTATACAAATGGACGACATTGAAGAAGATTAGTTGGGGGTTAAATGTGACTAATATACCATGTTTAATCTTTTATATGACAGTATGCTTTCCCAAATTTTTTAATTTATAATTGGGCGTTGTATTTGACACGGAATGTGTTTACAGTATTTGAATAAAAATTGTTAATTTTGGGCATTAAAAAATAGGGGTCATCTTATACATGGGGGCATGTTAATACATGGAAGAATACAGTAGTTAATTTGTATAATACACTGGTAGTAACAACAGACTGGACAGTTAAGGACTGTTTACCATGTCAACAGTTTAGGTGTATTAAACACACGACAAGAAATATATACACAGTTGTTCTTGTGACGGTCAAATGAATGCAAACGGTAGGTCAGGATAGGACAAAAGTCAGGCTGGACAGATTGTGGGACATTTATTGATACAAGATGTGAATGTGTTTTAACTTGTCATCTCACATATTTTACTTAGCTATAACTCGTCGGCTGACATATTTTACTTTGATGTAAGCTGTTGGCTCACATATTTTACTTTGATGTAAGCTGTTGGCTCACATATTTTACTTTGATGTAAGCTGTTGGCTCACATATTTTACTTTGATGTAAGCTGTTGGCTCACATATTTTACTTTGATGTAAGCTGTTGGCTCACATATTTTACTTTGATGTAAGCTGTTGGCTCACATATTTTACTTTGATGTAAGCTGTTGGCTCACATATTTTACTTTGATGTAAGCTGTTGGCTCACATATTTTACTTTGATGTAAGCTGTCGGCTCACATATTTTACTTTGATGTAAGCTGTTGGCTCACATATTTTACTTTGATGTAACTTGTGGGCTCATTTTACTTTTAATTTGTGTGGTTTTCTGTGACAGAATGTTCAAGCATTAGCCCCCCACTTTGAAGTTTGAGGATTCATTTCATGGATGTGTCACTCAATTCATGAATGCAGTTTTTATGTAGATATAAGGGGATCATCACCAGAGCTGTGGAGTTTATGCTTTGTGTGACATTCTCAGCAGATGGCAACATGTTCTGTAGAGAGCTATATGGGATGACCTCGTGCAGTGTGTCCTATTCAGACTAAGGACAGGGCACAACGGACTTGGCTAACATATGTTCCAGTTTTTTTGTGGTAGGAATCAAGGAAATGTGTGTCCTTGCAACTTAAATGCCCACCATGCACTCCAGTAGTGTCAACTGTCATCATCAGGTGCCCTGCCGACTGGCGTGGGCCATCATGCCTCTCCATAATCTGCAATCTCCTGCAGCATGTATCAGTTCGTGTGCCGACACACCTCCATGCCATGCAACAAGACTGTCAAGCATCTGCTCTCGTTGTCTTCCTCTATCCCTCCTTCCACAGATCTTTCCAGTGGTCACAACATGTTCTATTTTCCCTCTTCTCATAACATGGCTGAAAAATGATGACTGTCTTCTTCTGATGTCTGGGATAAGTTTTCTTCGGGCTCCTGCCTCTTTCAAAGCCTCTTGGTTGCTCTTTTTGGCTGTCCAAGGTATTTTTAGCATTCTTCTGTAAAACCACAACTCTGATGTCAGACTGTATTCTGCTAAAAGAGAAGTGTGGTCTGTTCTGACCTTAGTGAAGACCAAAACTGTATGCTTTGTAGCAAGATTTGGACTGCACAGTAGCTTTCATCAAGGCTGCTGGCCTCCTGAAATAAATGTTGTGGCAGAAGATGGACTAACTTTTGATTGTTGCTCTTTTAATTTCAGAAAAGCTCTCCATAATAGCTACCTGCTGCGACTGTACAGTACTGACCCTCGTGTCCACAAGCTAGTGAGCATCGTCCGGCTGTGGGCCAGGTCTCAGGGTCTGACCAGCACCAGCGGAGGGGCACACCTCTTCACCAGCTATGCCATCACGCTGATTGTGCTGTACTTTCTGATGCACAGAAAGGAGAAGTTGATCCCACTGGTGTGCGAGGTTGAGAATTGTGTCGAGGGTACGAATGCTAGCAACTGTTTGCCGGGCCACAGATCTTAATCATTTCACCTTGAGACACTAGTGTTTCTGCTTTGCCATCTATTACACATCCCAGTTTACATCTTTAGCCAGTCCCCCGCTTGGCGTAATTAATGGCATTGGTTTTGCTGGTGTCTGCATATGTTTGGGAGGGCAGGATATGATTATATTTACTAAAAATAGCACTTAGGAAATTGCTTTTGTGAAAAAAATTGGCCCTTTTAAAGGGGATTATGACATCATAATTTAGCCTTCTACATTTGCTAAGTAACAGTTTACTGTATAGATTGTTTTTTAGATAGAGGACCAGGGTTTGAATCCTAAGTAAGGCTGGGGGTTTTTCTGTCGGGGGCAAAATAAAATCCTCACCTGCACAGTCTTGGTGTCAGCACTAGCCATGTGGCCTTACATCCTCAGGTCTACACCGCAAGAGTGGTATAATAAAGGCCGTCATTGGCAATTTACTACTGTATATATCGCATGTTGAGTTTTACTGTTTGTTTTTGAGTAGCTACACATTACACAAATGAGTGCACATTACACATCATCTGCCACAGTCCTCTAATATGTAGCCTCCTATGACATGATTGTTAAGGAGGCAACAGGTCTATTTTTGTTTGCCCTACGAGGGGACCCGGGAACCAACACGGGAGAGAAACCTGAATAAACAAATAGATATGTATGTGTAGAAAGAAGTAGAGAGATAGAAGGACCCAGCAGATGGCATAAACATCAAAAGCTAAAGCTACCATACCAGGGAATCGAACCTGTCACTCCCAGTGAGGTGAGAATGTAGCGAGGCGCCGTTGTCATTGGGAGGTGGCAGGTTCAATTCCTAGCATGGTAAACTAGCTTTTGATTTTTATTTTGACTGGAGCAGTGTTTCCTTATGTGGGGCTCATGCCCCATGGGGGAGGGGGGAACAATTTGATTGTTAAGGGGGGGACAATCAGAAATTGGACTTGTCCAGAGTTTAGGTTGCTTAGGGGGCCTAAGAGTTTTAGAAAGGCTTAGGTGGGGCATGGCTAAAAACAGGCTGAGAAACGCTGATCCGGTGTGTTCTGTCTCTCTACTTTTGTCTTTTAGTGCCTGTTAGTATATATGTCTATAAACATATATACATATTTACTAGTTGGGTAGTTTGTGAAATTGTGACACATTTGAAGTGAACGTATATGTCTGTGTCTGTGACAGGTACTTACAAGGAGGTGGTCGAGAACTCCGAATGTCTGTGTATCCCCTCAAATGCTGAACTTCCCTTGTCTGACAACAAGGATAATGAAGGTTAGTGTTTCTCTGGGATTGGGGAGGCGATGGGTCCTGGGATTGGGGAGGATTATATTTCCCCCGGTCAGGGGAGCAAATGTATCCTGGGACAAGGCAGGTAATGGTTCCCGGGACACAATTTGGAGTTATAAATCTACTCAAAGTATTTCAGGATACTCGCCGGAGGTGCGGAGTTTGTGGACCTTGCTGAGATTCTTTGGACTCAGGCTTGAGTTAGAAGTAGAACAGAGCACTTATGGATTACTACCTAGTGCCATGATGTTGATCCGTTGTCTAAATCTCAACCTAGCAGCAAGGACACACAGCCACCCCTCAAACCTGAGCAGCCCCTAGAACATGGCCTGCAGGACAGTTCTCTCCTGGAGGAGTTGCAAAACAAAATGGGGCCACATCCAGTAGACTTGACAACTTAGCTTTGGGAAAATGTAAGAGGCTGTGAGTTGACATCCCAGTTTGTGACCACTAGTGGATTTAGACATGACCAGAGATCGCTAAAGAAGAAGAAGAAAAATAACACGTAACATGTTTATTGGTGCACTTGAAAAATAGCCAGTCAACCACAACATATGATTAATTGGTATTTGTAAACAGTTTACTTCGGCGTCTGTAGCTTAGGCATTACGAACGCACTTTGTGGTGCCGGGTTTGATCCCAGCTGCGGGCCTTGGGCCTTGCGTTGGTTTCGACAGTGGTATTGAGAAGCTGACCGTCCAGAAAGCAATGGCAAACTACTGGACGTAAACTTGCCTAGAAAAACCACAACAGCCAAAATACACTGGGGTTGGTTCTGCTGCGTCCTGTAAAGGATACGTAACTAACTTTCTAAACAGTTAGGGGTAGAAATTGGTGAGGAATAGTTTTTAGGCTTTATTATTCAAACTGGAATAAGAATTCTTCTTCTTCTTCTTCTTTATTTGTCACACTGTTACCAGACTCTAGCCTCATGTCATGGTTTTTCACTATTTGTTGTGCGCTCCTCGAGTGCTTGGGTGATGGGGTTTTTCATCTTTGATCCGGCTATACCCTCTGTCTTCCCCTTGCCTTCCACACCAACTGTTCTGCTGTAGAAAGTATCATATTCAGTTTGGATTGGCTGATTTCTTACTGCATAAAATTGAGACTGGCATCCTGTGCACGGAGTGGCTTGCATCACTTGATAAGACCCAGATCAGGAGTCATCATTATGTGCCTTGCCAACTGGCGAGGCTCTCATGGGTCTCCACATATCACGATTCCCTGGCTGCCTGGCACAGCTCTCTTGATGATATCCCTCCTTGTCAACATTTCAACCCATCTACCATCATCTCTCTTGGTCTGCCTCTACCCCCTTTCCCACTGATCTTTCCAGGAGATCAGGAGTATATCATATGTTTGCTGTCCAGGGATATTCAGGTGTGCGAGGTAACCAGCATGCTGATAGATTGGCTGCTGCCACTCCTCTGGGCTGGGATATACTTAATGATAGAGTGGACATGGTGAAGGCTCTTTGGTATTAAATGGACAGTGCAAGAGAACATGTGGAGAATCCGTGGGCAGATTTTTAAACAGGCTGCAGTTAGTACAACTGGCATGTCGACTCTTGATTGGCTACTGATGAAGGGGAATGTCCTAAATGCAATGATGTTAATTCTTGATTGATTCATTCATTACTACATGGCCAAACCATTTCTTCTGCCTGTCAGTGTAATTCAGGTACAGTCTTCCAACCTTCTCTCTAATGCTGGCATTTGGGACCCTGTCCTTTCTTATGTTGTTCATGACCTTTTCAGGCACATCACGTTTTACAAGTGGCTATTTTCTGAATAATTAAAGTAATTAGTTTCATCCTAAATTCGGCACAGTTGACCTGGTGAAAGAATTCTTTGCCTTCTACTCCGAGTCCGTCGATTGGGACACCGATGCCTTGTATATGAAGGATGCTACGGTCTTTCCCAGGAACCAGATTGCTCAGGATCCCCACTTCATAGGATGTAAGGTGAGTTTATTTTGGGTGTGGTGGATGTACTGCAGATATTGTTTCATTTTGTGTCACATTTCACTGCCGCCCCCCCTCCCTTTTTTTCTACAAGTATGTCATAGGTGGCAACTAATTAGGGGTGTTTCCTTCTACTTAACCGTCAGAGAGAAAGTTGGAAATGATACTATCAGACTAGGAATAACACCTTGCACTAAATTAATTCAGGAGCAGAACATCGGTGCTTTATTAATATCATACCCCAGATGACATCACAGGACAGTCCAACATTTTAGAGGGTGGTAACACTGGGTTTCCCGGCTTTCTGATGCATTTATCGACCCCAAAACATATAGAACTGACCCTAACCCCAACCCCCCTACGTCCCACGAATGCATGCAGCCTAGGTCCCATGAATGCATGCAGCCTATCTACCACCCCCTGAAATATTAGTCTGTCCTGTGATCTGTGGATTTTCCCTGTTTGGGGTAGGATATTCATAAAGCACCAGAACATCAGATGGTTTGATTATCTTGCTAGAATCCAACCAAGTCACAACTACCAAGTCTGGTGCTACACAAGAAAAGATGTGATGTGAAAGCAAGAAGTTGCTCAAGGAGAAGATGGATTGATGAAGTTACTCATTAAGTAATGGATTGTAAACCATGAATCCTTGTTCCTAACACTTAACTGCAAAAATGAAAATTGATAGTGATGATGATGATAATTTTGAGATTATTATTTTAGTATTTTACTCATACTACCACACATTAAATCATTCAGACTCACAATATAACTGTGTTTTACCCCACCAGTCCGGCTGTATGACGATCATTGATCCATTTGTCCTCACCCACAATGTCGCGGCAAACATCAACGAAGGGACCAAATGTAAATTTGTCACTGAACTGAAACGGGCAGCAGAGTTGACTCGTGATTGGCCAACGTCTGCCCACAAGCTGGAGTCCGGACCATGGGGAGTAGCAGGTTGGTTTGAATTTGTCGATGTTGAGAATTTTCTGGAGGGTTGCGGTTGAACTCTTTGGTTCCCTGTGTGGGTTTTGGGGCCCATTCTGGGGGGGGGGGGGGGGGGGGGGGGGGGGGGGGGTAGATCCAGTGCCCCTAACAGGCATGTCGTACAAGGTGACTGTATACTTGTTTCCTTCGAAGTCGGAATGGATCTGCCTGAGAGGTGAGAAACCAACAGTCTGTATATAAATAAGCCAGATCTGTCAAACTGATGTGCACAAAAAAATCAAGTTCTGGAATAAGACCAAAGTCCACATGTGGATGAACAACTTGACCTTTACATCAGATTTTACAGCAGATAAAGACTACAAAAGAAATATTGTTAACCCTCCCCCCCCCCCCCCCCCCCCATGTGGGGTTCAGGGCTTGATGTTCTTGTTATTGTAACCTCCCCATGTGGGCTGCAGGGCTGGATGTTCTTGTTATTGTAACCTTCCCATGTGGGCTGCAGGGCTGAATGTTCTTGTTATTGTAAACCCCCCCATGTGGGCTCCAGGGCTGGATGTTCTTGTCGTCATTGTAACCTCCTCATGTGGGCTCCAGGGCTGGATGTTCTTGTTATTGTAACCTCCCCATGTGGGCTGCAGGGCTGGATGTTTTTGTCGTCATTGTAACCTCCCCATGTGGGCTGCAGGGCTGGATGTTCCTGTCGTCATTGTAACCTCCCCATGTGGGCTGCAGGGCTGGATGTTCCTGTCGTCATTGTAACCTCCCCATGTGGGCTGCAGGGCTGGATGTTCTTGTCATCATTGTAACCTCCCCATGTGGGCTCCAGGGCTGGATGTTCTTGTCGTCATTGTAACCTCCCCATGTGGGCTGCAGGGCTGGATGTTCTTGTCGTCATTGTAACCTCCCCATGTGGGCTCCAGGGCTGGATGTTCCTGTCGTCATTGTAACCTCCCCATGTGGGCTGCAGGGCTGGATGTTCTGTGTCATTGTCATTGTAACCTCCCCATGTGGGGCAGGGCTGGGCTGGATTGTGTTCCCCTGTGTGGCTGGATTGTAACCTCCCCATGTGGGCTGCAGGGCTGGATGTTCCTGTCGTCATTGTAACCTCCCCATGTGGGCTGCAGGGCTGGGCTGTTATTGGATGTTCTGGATGTCGTCATTGTAACCTCCCCATGCTTGGGCTGCAGGGCTGGATGTTCCTGTCGTCATTGTAACCATGTGGGCCCCATGTGGGCTGCAGGGCTGGATGCTGCAGGGCTGTCGTTATTGTAACCTCCCCATGTGGGCTGCAGGGCTGGATGTTCTTGTTATTGTAACCTCCTCATGTGGGCTCCAGGGCTGGATGGTCTTGTAACCTCCCCGCTCCATTGTAACCCCCCCCATGATGTTCTCCTGCAGGGCTGGATGTTCTTGTCCCCATGTGGTCATTGTAACCTCCCCATGTGGGCTCCAGGGCAGGGCTGCAGGGCTGGATGTTCCTTCATTGTAACCTCCCCATGTGGGCTGCAGGGCTGGATGTTCCTGTCATCATTGTAACCTCCCCATGTGGGCTGCAGGGCTGGATGTTCTTGTCGTCATTGTAACCTCCCCATGTGGGCTCCAGGGCTGGATGTTCCTGTCGTCATTGTAACCTCCCCATGTGGGCTGCAGGGCTGGATGTTCCTGTCGTCATTGTAACCTCCCCATGTGGGCTGCAGGGCTGGATGTTCTTGTCGTCATTGTAACCTCCCATGTGTGGGCTGCAGGGCTGGATGTTCTTGTCGTCATTGTAACCTCCCCATGTGGGCTGCAGGGCTGGATGTTCCTGTCGTCATTGTAACCTCCCCATGTGGGCTGCAGGGCTGGATGTTCCTGTCGTCATTGTAACCTCCCCATGTGGGCTGCAGGGCTGGATGTTCTTGTCGTCATTGTAACCTCCCCATGTGGGCTGCAGGGCTGGATGTTCCTGTCGTCATTGTAACCTCCCCATGTGGGCTGCAGGGCTGGATGTTCTTGTCATCATTGTAACCTCCCCATGTGGGCTGCAGGGCTGGATGTTCTTGTTTATTGTAACCTCCCCATGTGGGCTGCAGGGCTGGATGTTCTTGTTATTGTAACCTCCCCATGTGGGCTGCAGGGCTGGATGTTCTTGTCGTCATTGTAACCTCCCCATGTGGGCTCCAGGGCTGGATGTTCTTGTTATTGTAACCTCCCCATGTGGGCTGCAGGGCTGGATGTTCCTGTCGTCATTGTAACCTTGTAACCTCCCCATGTGGGCTGCAGGGCTGGATGTTCTTGTTATTGTAACCTCCCCATGTGGGCTGCAGGGCTGGATGTTCTTGTTATTGTACCTCCCCTCCCATGTGGGCTTGGATGTTCTTGTTATTGTAACCTCCCCATGTGGGCTGCAGGGCTGGATGTTCTTGTTATTGTAACCCTCCATGTGGGCTGCATGTGGGCATGTGCAGGGCTGGATGTTCTTGTTATTGTAACCTCCCCATGTGGGCTCCAGGGCTGGATGTTCTTGTAACCTCCCCATGTGGGCTCCAGGGCTGGATGTTCTTGTAACCTCCCCCCAGGGCATGTGGGCTGCAGGGCTGGATGTGGGCTGCAGGCTGGATGTTCTTGTTATCTTGTAATTGTAACCTCCCCATGTGGGCTGCAGGGCTGGATGTTCTTGTTATTGTAACCTCCTCATGTGGGCTGCAGGGCTGGATGTTCTTGTTATTGTAACCTCCTCATGTGGGCTCCAGGGCTGGATGTTCTTGTAACCTCCCCATGTGGGCTCCAGGGCTGGATGTTCTTGTAACCTCCCCATCTGGGCTCCAGGGCTGGATGTTCTTGTTATTGTAACCCCCCCCCATGTGGGCTGCAGGGCTGGATGTTCTTGTAACCTCCCCATGTGGGCTTCAGGGCTGGATGTTCTTGTTATTGTAACCTTTCCATGTGTGCTGCAGGGCTGGATGTTCTTGTTAATGTAACCTCCCCATGTGGACTGCAGAGCTGGATGTTCTTGTTATTGTAACCTCAATATGTGGGCTCCAGGGCTGGATGTTCTTGTAATTGTAACCTCCCCATGTGGGCTCCAGGGTTGGATGTTCTTGTTATTGTAACCTCCCCATGTGGGCTGCAGGGGCTGGATGTTCTTGTTATTGTAACCTCCCCATGTGGGCTTCAGGGCTGGATATTCTTGTTATTGTAACCTCCCCATGTGGGCTCCAGGGCTGGATGTTCTTTTTAATGGTGCTGGGGATTTTTTTTGGTCCTTCTTTTTTTAATCACACTTTTTTCTCCAAAGTTGTGCGGGTCTCAACATATATTCAAGATGTAGCCACCTTAGAGTTTGAAAACTACTGGTCTGAACTAACATCAGTAGAAGCAAGCCCCATTTAGAGTTCAGCAACCTCTTGATAAAACCAGAATTTTCCAAACTTTTAAGTTGGAACTTGGACTTTATGTGCACATCTGGTTTACAGATCTGGCTTATTTCTGTGCATATCGCTGGCTCCTTGCCTCTCAGACGGATGCACTCTGACTTTAAAAGTAACACCAGTAATTTATGACATGGTTTTCACAGCTAAATGGTACCCCAGAATCAACACAGAAAACAGTATTTTATGTTGCCTTCCTCATACGCTTTGGTAACACACAAGCGACTCTGCCGTTCCACCTTTTTAAATATAACAGTTGGTATGAACTTACTAGTCATGAATAATTAACTAGAAATGTTGATGTGAGAATAGAAAAATTACAGGTCCACTATTTCTTATTTGATTCTTTCTTACAGAACTGCTGGTTCCCAATCCAGACCAGATGACAGGTAAACAACGCAAAAGATCTGCCCAGCATCTGGCAGCAAAATCCAACACTGCCCAGGGAAAAAATCCAGATGTGGCAGGAAATGTGCACCAGGCACCCAAAATGAACAGTAGTCGGATCGAGGGTGAGCAGGAGAACGGGGAGTTTTGCATCACAGTACAGCCAGTGTCACAGTCGTTGACTTGTACCCAGCTTTTGCTAACTGCAAAGCAGAATAATGTGACGCCTGCGGAGCAGTGGTGCAACATGGCGCAAGATCTTATTTTGAATGTTTTGAAAAGCGTATTTATGGTTGAGGTTAAGGAACTTAGATTGTCTGAGGAAGAGAGGAAGGAGAAACTAGGTCAGGATGTGGAGTCGGGTAAGGGATCTGAATCAAAACCTCCGAAAGATTTGGAGATGAAGAATGCAACTAGTGGGAAAGATGGTAAGGAAGATTATGTGCTAGTGGATGTGTGTGATGATGAGGGTCACTTTGGGCAGACAAAAGATGAGAGTAGTGGCTATAAAAGAAGCCGGGACGAAGCACATTTAGATGGCACTGCAGTTGCAACTGATCCAGCAGCTGGTGCAGAAGCTGAACATAATGCTGCGGTGGATGCTAAAGTGGGAAATCCAAAGAAGTTTTGCGAGGGTATTGCAAATAGCGTGGATCAGTTTGAAGAAGTCATTCTGACAAATCTATCCACAGAAAACTGTAGCTCTAAGGTTGATGGGAATGATTCTTCTAATGCTTGCACCGATGATTTCTGCATGGAGCTTGCTATTGAGGGCAGGAATGGTTTTGGGGGACAGGATACAACAGGAAGTCCTAGTGCTAGTGCAGTTGCTGAAGCTTCAGCTGATGTTTCAACCAAGGATCCCTCTTCATACATTCAGACTACAAGCACCAGTTCTGGGCCGACTGAAGCTAGGCCGTCCAAAGTGTTTACCTACGCCTGCAGTTGCCACCACCAGGTCTGGGTAGATCGCAAGAAAGTTTATAGTCAGATCCCCCAGAAAGAGAATTTTACTGCCCTTGCTCTAGAACAGGAAGTGACTAAGCTGGTATTGGCTAGAAAGGATCTTCTTCTTCAGAAGATCAATGCGGTTACTCAGGGAGTTTTGGAAAGCTCAAAGACTGACAGTCAACTACATAGATCACAATCGGGACAACATCTTCAAAATGAAGCTGTCACAAAAGGTCTGGCCAGAGGTGAAGATCTCAGAGTTGTGAAAATAGCGCAGCAGGTACCACAAGTTAAACAGCAAATGGAATCTTCCAGTGAGGCAGAAAAATCAAAGAAAATCGGACGACCAGACCTGGAGTTTTCTTGCCAGATAGTCTATCAGAGCTGCGATGATGACCTCAGACTTCCTTATATTGTAATTAAGCTGAAGCCAAGCTTGTCTAGCTGTAAACAGTTTCGGAACTTCTTCTCTGCCTTCAGGTCTCTGATTCTGCGTGTGGTCACACAGCATTTTCTAGAAATGTCCTCATGAGTTCCTCTCTCCTCTTCCTGAAGTATTTCAGCTGTTACGGAAATTCTGGCTCATCCTGTTAAGCTGTTCTTTTTTATTTTTTTTATTACAAGAATTAGAATTCTACAGGGTCCATTTCTGTTGATACTCTCTTTTATTCATTAAATTTTAGGCTGTGGTCCATGGCGACTGCAGTAGCTGTGCGGCTTTAAATCTTCATGTTGCAGTGTGGCCCTAAAGTCTCATATAAAGTGATAATCCTGATATAAGGAGATGAATCATGGACAGTTAGCTGATGAATGAAAAATCTGGAGGCTGTGTTTAGCCCTGCTGCCCCAAGAAACTGCAAACCTGGAATTCTGACTGTAACACAATCCCCTAAATGCCGCTTAGCCAGAATTTCTGCTGACTGTCTCCGAGAAGCCTAGTTAATGGAATTGGGTTCTGTATGTGCCTGAGGCAGTGTTTTCAAAGCACAGACATGAATATTTTTACTAAGAACAGTGTTTAGGGGGTTTTCATGTTAACAAAGTGGCTTTTTCAAATTACATAATTACATTGACATAATCATTTGCCCACACCTTAGTGTTGGAATTCTCACCAGGTCATAGGGCCAGTGTAGGAGTCACTTCATACAGTTTTTAGACCACATGGAACCTATTCCATTTAACGCTTCACTCCGTTCATGTTTATTAGATTCTTCCTTATTATGTTTTGAAGAAACAATTAAAATGCAAATAAATAACTTTTTAAAAAAATGTGTTGATGGCTTGTGTAAAATGGTTGGTTGCCAGATTTTTGGGTGAATTCTTGCAGGATCATCATGTTGTTTTTGTTTTTTGTAAAGTTCCAAAAAAAAAAAAAAATCGGGTGTGAAGGGTTAAAATGATCAAAGTATTGCAGTTTTGTTGCCATGGTGACCTGTCTGAGCCTGTTCTCGGTGCATTGTATAATTTTTATCAAAGATAGACAAATCAGTTTTATCTTATTTTTACTTCAGTTTTGTTATTTCTCTGTAAGCAAATCACCATACAGCGCTCATTATCAAGATCATATCATCATCATCAACATAATAGATCATCACAGTTGCCAGTTTTAGCATCATTACCACCATGAACATCATCAACATCATCATCATTATCACCACCACCACCAACACCTTTATCACCATTAACAACATCGTCATCAGCATTAACAGTATCAGCAGCATCATTATCATCAGTATGAACAGCATCATCTAATTGGAATTAACAAATCATCAATATTGACACAATCTTTAATATTAACATCAACATAGACTTAGTAACAACTTGCATGCTTTATGGAAGAAGAGCAAAAAGATGGTGAAGTCGTAAATACCTGGAAGACTTGGATATATGGATGTGGATGAATCAATCTCTCCTCCCCCCCCCCTCCTCCCCCAAAAGGACCCTGACATCCATGTCAATCCAGCCTAAAATGAGAACCAGGTGAAGTCCTGGGAAGTAAAGGAAGCCGGTGTTATGTTGACCACATCACCTACCAAGTGGCGATTGGGCTACAAAAATATGAGTCTAACATCATCTGCTTAAAACGCCATTGTCGTGAACGGGTCATTTACTTTTGCTGCACTTACTTAACTCCCTTGGCTTGCTAAATATCATGCGTGCATTGTATGCATTTTAAAGGGTGTATTTTTAATGACTGTATTTTCTTTCAAAATATTGCTGTTCCTATTTTTTTGTAATCACTCTGTGGAGTTAATGCTAAATATAATGCTATAATGTGTTTTATTCTGGGTACTGTTTTCCACATTACTGCTCCATTCACAATGAATTCTACTGGTTAAATTGCAAACAGTATTAGGATAAGGCACTTGTTGAGTAGCAGGAAAAGACATCATAAATTGTTGAACAACCACATTCGAATACGTGACATCATTCAAGAAAACATGCTCAACCAAACTTTTTTCAACAGTAAAAACACAATAATAGCTACGATTAGTTACTAAAACACCGGTATTTATCAGTCATATTCTGAAATATTGGTTACATGGTGTTTGAAACATGATGTAATAGACAAATTTAGTTATGATGTGCAAATAATTTGTTTAAAAGAAACTTATAGTCATTAAACATACACCCTATATTTTCATCTATAACACCTGTTCATATTTTAACTCGTTGACTGTCTTAAAACATATTTTGCAGCATTTTAAATTTAGGGCATTCAGTCTACACTGAGTTATTTTAACTGTTCTTTTTCAGTCTTTTTAATTGTTTTTTTTTTGTTATTAGTCTTTTTGAACTGTATTGGTTGGTCATTGCTTCTGCTTTTAGTGCTGTTTGACAGTGTCTGTTCTTACAAGGTTTTGTTTTGGACATTGTCTGCTATTTTTGATGGTTCCCACAGTTGTAATTTTGACATTGTTAATTCCAACGGCGTATGTTTTTGCATGAAAGGGTAATAATTTTAGTGGTGTGTGTTTCGTGTTTTTTTAATTAGTCTGTTCAAAGTGATTTTTGGCAGTGTTTACTCTTAGTATTAGTTGGAACTGTCTAATCCAAACTTTGGGAGTGTCTTTTTAGGCTGTTTGATACAGTTCTTATTGAGTTACTTTGGCAGTGTCTTTTTAGGCTGTATGAGACTGTTCTTATTGAGTTACTTTAGCTGTGTCTTTTTAGGCTGTCTGACACTGTTCTTATTGAGTTACTTTGACAGTGTCTTTTTAGGCTGTATGACACTGTTCTTATTGAGTTTCTTTGGCAGTGTCTTTTTCAGCAGTGTCTAATTGTAACCCTGAAAATGCCGCCTATATGTCAAATGGTGGATAGAATATATATTTACACAAGAATATTTGTTATTTTGACAGTTTGCAGTGTCTGTTCTTAATCATGTATTGCACTATCTGTTCCAACAGTGTTTTTTCATCTTCTTCTTTTTCTTCTATGTCCACTCTTTAAAGAGCGGTTGGCACATTATGTTGTGGTTTACAGCAAGGTTGTGATATCTGTGCTTTTTGGTCCAACACATCTGATTTCAGCTAGTCTTTGATCAGTTACTTTGTACTGATGACAGGGCTTGTTAAGGGACAGTGGGTGTATCCCCCCCCCCACCCCCCTCCATCCAAGTGGGTTTCTGGAACCCACATGGGTAGTGCCTTTTTTCAACAATTTTATAGTATCAATTCTTATCTCTAATAGTGTCTATTTCAACAATTATTTTAATAACTGCTTGCCCCTACAGTGTTTTTTTCCCCAGAATAATTAAATCCATATTATCCAGTGTTATTTCTGCAATATTCCTTTCTATAGTATCCAATGTTATTTCTACAATATTCCTTTCTATAGTATCCAATGTTATTTCTACAATATTCCTTTCTATAGTATCCAATGTTATTTCTACAATATTCCTTTCTATAGTATCCAATGTTATTTCTGCAATATTCCTTTCTATAGTATCCAATGTTATTTCTATAATATTCATTTCCACAGTGTAGTTTCCTCAACATTCATTCCTACAGTGTTATTTTGGCAGTCTGTCCCTTGAAGGTTTGTTTCTATGTTTGTCAGTTCAGTGAATTTGTGTTTGCTTGTTTATATGTGCATTGTATGTTAAATGAACCACGAGCGGTTATTCAGAATGCCTTTTCATATGAAATAAATTGTGAGAGCTGACAGTGTATGTATTTTAACCAGATTAAGAATAAACTAAATATTACGTTAACTTCGCTTGGGTGAAAAGTACTGTATTATCTTTTGTTTTTTCCCCATGTGGATTCTGGGGCCCCATTTGGGGGGAGGGGAGAAATAAACTCACTGCCGCCTAACAGACATGTTGCAAAAGGCAACTAATTGGGCGGAACTTCCTTCGAAGTCGGAAGCATGTCATATGATTTGACTAATTAGGTTGTCCAAAGTTGCAGTGCATCTACTCGAGAGGCTAGGAGCCAGTGGTCTAGCTACAAATAAGCCAGATCTGTTCAAATGAATGTGCATGCAAAACTGAGGCTCTAGAACAAGGCCACGGTACAGCATTTGAGGAACAGCCAGAACTTTCCTGCAGAGTTTACAGTTGGAGAATGTGACGAAGAAGAATAAATTTCATGGTACTTATTTTAGGCTGGGTCAACTTATGGAAGAATGGCTGGCTCTGCACAACTTGGTAGAATACTGATGCATGATACGGCAGACATGGTTAGGGCCTTGTGGGAGAGCATGTGCAGTTCGGTGGAGCAGATGGATCACCACAGTCTGGTGAGATTGATGCAGCAGGGAGTGACGAGGGATTCTGGCAGATGCTCGAGGTTAAGAGGAAAGGCAAATCGGGCGTTTAATCAGAATGCTACTGGCACAATTAGTATCGGAACTCTGCGCTGACTACTGAAGATAGGGACAGAGCGCTTATGGGAATGCCCCGAGTACTGTGAGGTCGGTTCTTGAATCAACTCAACACATGAAAGAAGGAAGAAGTAGGAGTCAACTAGTACAAAAGTGGATAGAAGATATTACAGATACCTTAGACATGGAAATATTTAAGGAAGGATTGTTCCCTTCACATTACCCACACCTCCTTCAAAGTCTGAGTGCATGTGCCTGAGAGACAAGGAACCAACAATCTGCCTACAAATAAGCCAAGTTTGTAAAATGGATGTGCATGCAAAACTAAGTTCTGGAACAAGACCAAAGCCCAGAAGTGGATTTGCAGCCGATGATTGCTTAGCAGGAGGGAAAGAACATCACCATTTGAATGCTGAATTGTCTAGAACCTGGCCATTCAACTAAGTTTACAAAGGGGCCAAATTAAGTTAAAACAGAGATCATCTCAGCCTCAGCATAGAAAGATCATTAATACGGTACAACTGGCAGTGATCAGCCGAAAATGGTGAAAATATGGGGGTGACTGCAGTCAAGCTAATACAAGGAATTCCAGAGAAATTTGACTAAAATGCTCAACAAAATGGGGAAGCAGAAAAATGTGCACAGAACAGCACAACATAATGTTTCAGCCGGGCAGCCTTTTTCAAACATAAGTGAACTACA